TAAGCACTGTTCTAAGCAATGAAGATACAAGGAAAACCACAGGTAACAATCTCTGACCTCAAGGAGCTTGCATACTAATGAGGGAGAAAATGCATAAATAAGAGGTACATACATGATAGATAGATACAGAGTAGATGGAACCTTAAAGGGGAAGCTTCAGATGACTGAGTGGATCAGAAAGGCCTTCTTCAGAAGATAACATTTCAGTAGAATCTTGAAAGAAGCCAGGAATGTCAAGAGACAGAGGCAAGGAGAGAGGGCTTTGCAGGCTCAGTGAGAATCCAGTGCAAAAGCACAGGGATAAGAGATGGAGAATTAGGTCATTTGCAAGCAGGAAGTAACTAGGCTGGTATCACTGGACCATAGAGTGTGTGGAAGTGAGTTGTGTGAAGAGAATAGAAAAAGGGTAATTAGATTTGGCAGTTATTAGATCACTGATAGCTTTGGAAAGATTCATTTCAGTTGAACAATAGTTGGAAGCCAGACTTAGTGGTTTAAGAAAAGAGAAAGTAACTTTGGTTGCCCCTCCAAGGAATTTAGTACAAAAGGGAAATACAGGATGATAGTTAGTAGGAATATTAGGATCAGATGAGAGGGTTTTTTTTAAAGGATGGAGGAGACATGAACATTTGTAAGTAGTGTTTGTAGGTATTAGGTAAGGGGCCAAAAGACAGGACGAGATTGAAGATTAGAGAGATAGTGAAGATGACAGTAGAGGCAAGCTACTGGAAAGATGGAAGAGGATGGAATCAAGGGTACATATAGATGGGTTGGACTTGGCAAAGAGAAGAGTCTCTTTTTCATCTGAATCTTGATTAATTTATTTATTTTTAGTTTTCAACATGAACTTCCACAAGATTTTGAGTTCCAAATTTTCTCCCCATCTCTCCCCTCCCCCACCTCAAAATGGCATGCATTCTGAATACCCCTTCCCCCAATCTGCCCTCCCTTCTATCATTCCCCTTCTCTTATCCCCTTCCCCTTCCATTTTCCTGTAGCACAAAACAGATTTCTAAAACTTGAGAAGGAAGAGATGGTGGGCGATAATGTCAGAGGGGTGGGACATTAGAAAAGGAAAAAAAGATTTCTCAGTGAATGCCCTCCATTTTTTTTTTTTCAGCAAAATATGAGGCAAGTTCAGAGGGTGAAAGGAGAAGAATGTTATGAGAGGTTTGAACACAAATGTGGTTTGGACCTCCTGCCATGATGAGTGGGAGGCAGAATCATTGGAAGGAGTTGAAGGATTGCCTTGCTGCTAATAAGGGCTCTAGTTGAGATTAGATAACAAATACATGGTGGACCCAATCAGCATGGTTAGCATATGTGAATAGGAGTGAAGGAGGTGAATAATGAGTAATTCAAGATTGGAGTTCAATCACTGGTTTGAGAAGGGGTCAAGGTGTTCATGAGTAGAGGATAGTACAGAATTGAACAGGTTCACTAAGAAGTCAATGAATGCCTGGGAAAGTATTGAGGCGTGGGGAGATTGAAGGTCCTAGTGAAGATGGAGATTAAAGTTAGAAGTCAAAAGCTATTAGAAAATATGGAATGATTAAAGATTGTGATTAGACAAAGGAATTTCAGAGTTTATAAACCTGGAAGTAGAACATTTTGGGGGTGATATCAAAAGTATGGCCATCTTAGTATGTAGCTGAGGCAGAGTAGAAGACAAAGGGATTGAGTAAATTGAAAAATGGAGAAGTTAAGAGCATTTGAAAGAACATTAATACATATTTTGGTGTCTCTTAGTATGAGGACAGGAGTTGAGGTGGAGAGAAAGACTAAGTGAGGAAGGAGGAAAAAAGATCTGGGAATCAATAGATAACCCCAGTTTCTTTATCTGCATAATAGGAGTACTAAAATGTGGCAAGCTTACCTGTGCCCAGAGGGCATTTGTGAAAATCAAATAAAATAGAGTACTTTGATAGTTATAAAACAACATAGGCACATGATTCCTCTGAGATACAATGGTCCCTTTGGGCAAGTATGTTAACATTTTTTAATGGTAGAGTGGTCATGAACTCTTGACAGAAAATAGGAAAAACTCAGTTTCCCTATTGATCTTCTGAGATGAATATATGCAGATGGGTTAGGCTCAAAAGGTGGTCTGTGGCCTAGTTTACTGGCCCTAATGAGTTTTTGAGAAGCAATGTGGCATAATGAGAAAAGAACTGGATTTGAAGCCAGAAGACATGAGATCCAGGTTTGGTTTTGCTTCATATTAGCTAATTTAGCCTTAGGTAAATCTCCGTACCACTCTGAGCCTTAGTTCCTTCAAATGTAAAATGGATATTATTGAATATTATATTGTTCTCCCCACTTACATGGGCTGTTATGAATAAAGTGCTTTGTGAACCTCAAAGTTCTATATAAATGCAAATAATTATTATGGCACAGTTATTGGCCTATGCTTTCTCAAAAGCATGATGGGTATATAGGAAGTGCCTTGCAAATACCAGCTAACTTTAACAGCGTATTGACTCAGGCTTAATTACCATGCAACAGGTTTAGAACAATCTAATCCTGCCCTTAGATCACGCAAACTGAAAAGATTTTAACAGTCAGCCTAATTTATTTTATTGATGTGCCAATGTAGATTTTATTGGTATAACTGGGAAAGCAAAGGTAGACAGGTCAATTTCTCTTTTGCTTTCTTTATTTGTCTGGGCTGTGGATAAAGTTCTTGAGTGTTCTTGTAGAGACTGTCACTGAAGTCAGAGTCAAGGAAGCTGAGGAGTCTCAAATACTTGTAAGAGAACTCAGAACCAACAGTTCATTACTGAAAGGGGAGCTGGAGGAGGGATGGATGGAATCAGCTGAGCTCTGTACTCTTATTCTGCCAAGACTGCTGGGGAGAAGCCCAGCATTGCCACTGGAGATGAACATTTGAAAAATATGATTAGAAAATTCTTCCCTGGTCTTCTTTGCAATGGCAGCATATGGTACCAGAATGGCAAAAGGGGATGATAGGTATAGGAGTAGTTAGAAAACAAAATTTTTGAAGACCTCCCTGTTACTCACATATCACCAAACTATCCACAAAGTATAAGCAGCTATATAAGGATGCTGACAGTGAACAGGTCTGCTACTGAAAAACGACTCATCTCAATTTTCAACATCCTACCTATAATACCCCATTGTTAGATCTTCTCTTGACACTCCCACAATGCCCTCATCAGCTACCAAGGATGCAGTTATCACCTCATTGTAGATGAGTGCCAACTCTATATATCCAGTCTCGTGTCTCTCATGAGCTTTACACCCACATCTCTGACTGCATGCTAGACATCTCCTCCTAGATTTCTGGTTACCATTTCAAATTGACCATGTCCAAAATCAACCTCATCATTTCCTCCTTTAAACCCAATTCTCTCACCAACTTTCCTATTACTGTTGTCATACCTTCAGTCCTTCTAGTTCACAACTTAGGACCATCCTTGACTCTTTTCCCTCCCCCTACCCCCCAATATCTAATCACTTGTCAATTCCTATTGATTCTACTTCCACACATAATTTTGTTTGTACATGGTTTGTCCTTCCTTCTTGAAGAAGACCATCACATCAGGAAGATGATGCCATGACTTGCAAATGAATTGGATTTAAGTGAGGGAGGACTGTGCAAAGTAACCAGCCTCACTTTCTCCTCCAGAGCCATCTGGGTCCAGTGGCCAGATATGGATCAGGACAACTGGAGATGGCCCAGCACTTCCACACCTCTCATACCCACCCCTCCTCTTCATTTATCCTGCAACCACCCTAGTTCAGGCCCTCATAACTGCTCACCTGAAATATTGCATAATTTGGTCAATATCACTTTTGCTTCCTCTATTTCTCTGGGTTTGGTTAAAGTTCTTGAGTGTTCTTATAGAGACTGTCACTGGCATCAAAGCTGAGAAAAGATTAGAAGTCTTAAATACTTGTAAGAGAACCCAGTTAGAGTCAGCAGCTCATTATTGGAAGGGGAAGTGGGGGAAAGATTTATTAAATCAGCTAATCACTCTCCCTACATCTAGCCTCTCTCTTGTCAACTTTATCCTCCTTATAGCTGCCAAAATGATATTCTCGAAACACGATTCTGGTCTTAGTGCTGACCTATTTAAGAAGCTTCACTGATTCACTGATTCCCTACTCCCTCGAATAGAGGATACCACCTGGGCCTTCAATTTCATTGATGCAACTCATTGTTTTAGAAAATTGCCTCCAGCTCTGAGAGATTAATTGACTAACCCAGGGTCATATATCACATATGCATCAAAGGCAAGACTTGAACTCAGGTCTTCTTTGTTCCAAGGCTAATTCTGTCTCCACTATATCACACTCCCTCTCTACTATCTCTAGAACAAAATAGAAATTTTTCTATTTGACATTTAAAGTCTCTCACAATTTTAATCTGGACAACTTCTTATACATTGTCTTTCATTGTATATTCTGTGTTTCAGACAAAGGGGCCTATTTGTTGCTCCCTGCACATATTTCATCTCCTGTCTCCATACCTAGAGTACTCACCCTTCTCACCTCCACTCTTAACAGTCCTAGCTCTCTTCGAGCCTCACCTTAACCACCACATTTTACAAGAGGCTTTCTCTGATTCCCCCAGGGATCAGCACTCCTTCCCTAAATGTATGTATGTATGTATGGATATAGATATATAGATATACATCTTCATTTTGCACCTTTTCAATTTTCTGTGGGGTTTAATACACATACATTGTAGGCCTTCAAATAGCCCACCAAATTGCCTCAGAATGGAACTAAACTTGGGGTTACTTTTGGGACAATTGTATTTGCTTCTCTGTCATATTGTTCAAATAGAATATAACCTTTTTGAGGGCAGGGCTCATCTTGTTTTTACATCCCTAGTGCCTATGCCAGAATTCCTTTGCACATAGCAGACATTTAACAAATGCTTACAGAAGAGAATTGGATTGACCCCCAAGGTCATACTTGGGGGGCTAGAAGGAGCAACTGAGATCACCTAGTCCAATCAATTCACTTTACAGATGCAGAAACCAAGACCAAGAGAAGACATTTATTCAAGGTCATATGAGTGACCTTGTAAATCCCCGAAGAGCTGGGATTCAAACCAAGGTGCTCTGATGCGAGATTTGTTACTCTTCACTAAGCCATACTCCTCACATGTGAATGCACAGGACTTCTTACAATCCAATTTGTAGAAATAAAATTTAGCATTTTCAAAACTGGTATAAGAAAGGACTGTGCCTTGGCTTTTCTTTGTATGCTAGTTGCCTAGGGGATAATGGTACCTTTTAAAGTGAAAGTAAATACTTCCTTTTCATCCTACAACCCAAGCATGGTAAGACTTGTAGTCTATGGCTAGTGGGTATTACGGAGAGATGCGTCAACCTGGCACATTTAGGAAATAAACATACCCTAGGGTAAAAATGGATCATTTTTATACTTTCTTTCCCTCCCCTTTGAGCCTGCTGAGACCTCCCATGGTCTCTAAGTTATTAAATTAAAACTTCCTTGATCATCCAAAGGTCATGATGCCTAATGTGTGTTAATGTGATGAAAGTGTCAGATACAATTAGTTTCAGTAGTAAAACATGGTTTTATAGCTCTACATGCAATAAATTAGAACATGCCTCTTAAATTTCTAGAGTCAGGGAAATTTCTACACCATTAAGGCTTGATGAGAAAGCTTGTGCCCTCTTGGATACTGGGGAGATAATGGGAAGAAAAGGTAGGAGCAACTTGAAGCTATTCTCATTGTTCCCTAATTGGTGTTAGCAGTGGCTGTCAACTCATCAATTAATATGTAGGGACAAATATTAATCAAGTGCCTCCCATCTGCAAGGCACATAACAAGATTACGAGACCTTCACCTTGCCCTCGAGAAATTTACAGTCAAGTTGGAGAAGTGACAAATACATTTTGCTCCCTGAAGGGCCCCTAAAGTCATTGTTGGTGCCATCTCTTTGTTTTTCCCTTTATGGGGAAATAAAAGGTAGTATATTTTTTTAGAGTTCCTTCAAGTAAAATTATCGCAGCATAGTTTTATGGGAGGCTGAACTTGAGGTTGCCTTTGGGGTGATCCTTTAACATTTTGGTGGTTTCTTATCACTCTTAGAGCATTCTAAATAGTCCCTCCCATAGTCATAAAGTTACCCCCATGGTTTAGATTCCCCAGGAGTCAAACACACTTTGGGGCTGCTGAACAAGCAACACCTTCCCATCAGACTCTCCAAAGGAAACTGAGGCCCAAGCTCATACAGGTAGTAAGTGGCAAAGTTGAAATTTGAACCTGAGTTCTCTTACTTTTTAGCTCTTTTAACTTCATTTTATTATCATAACCATTCTCTGTAATAACACCATGGAAGTGGAAGAATGTGTATTATTATTTTTTTTTCAGATGAGGGATTTGAGATCCAGAGAAGTGAATTGCCTAGTTAGTATTTTCTCTGCTAAATCTCATTACCTTCTGCCGCCCATGTCAATAGTACCCAGTTGCCCCCGACAAGGGGCATTTCTTACCCCAAATGGTGACCATTAGGATGAAAGAGGTGGCTAGACCTTGGGACATGTGAAATTAGCACTATAACTGGTCATCCTAAGCAAACATGAACAGAGAATTTCATTGTGTTATCTATTTCCATTTGTTTAGTCTTACTTTATGTTAGGAAAATCCTTAAATATAATTTTGTATTTGAGGATCTTTTCCTTTATCTAAGACTCAGATCTGGTCAAAAATGAATTATTTCTTCCTTTTTCCAGTTAAGGTTTTTCAGAGTAGGCAGTTTAGTTAGAAATAGACATAGAATTTAGAAGCCAACAAGCTAGGAGAAAGTAATAAGGGAGAATAAATTACAGAGACCTTTCATCTAATGGAATAAAATTATGTAATGAGCCAATTTGGTTTCTATTTTCTTCTAGTAAATATACTGTACAGTCTGAATAATACTACAGTAGAATGTGAGTGACAGGGTAAATATGAAAAGAGATAGGGCATTAGAAATGGATAGAAGATAAGATGTGGGAGTCAAGAGACCTTGGACAAATCACTTTACTCTTCTGGATCTCAGTTTTCTCAAATAATACAAACAATAACCCAAAGCTCCCTAAGCCTCTGGACTCACATGAATCAATTCTTCTGGGATTGACCCATGAGAATCATTTTCTCCATTTGGCTCATTGCCCCCATCTAGAGTGAATCTAGGAAATATCCAAAATATAATTTATATTTAGCTTATATATAGTTCCCCAAATATGGGTGACAAGGTTCTCATTTCAATACAAGCACTAACAGTAGCAAAGCAGATAGGTAGGATAGTCTTTATTTCACCCCTGCAAAAATGTTTCAGGTACAAAGTACACATAGGAACCCATAAAAAGATAGAAAAACACATAATACCCTCAACTAGGTCATTGACTCTCCTTAAAAATGGAACTGAACTTGAAGTTGTATTTGGGGGCAGTCCCTTAACGTTTTGTTGGTTCCATATGACTCTTAGAGCATCCTACACAGTCATAGTCATACCCCCATTGTTTAGATTCTCCAGGAGTCTAACACACTTTGGGGCTGCTGAACAAGTAACACCCTTCCCATCAGATTCTTCAAATAACTCATTGGATTCGCTTTCCATATTGGGTTACCATATTGCTTTCTATAGGGGTACTCATTTTGGGTACACTGGGTGATCCTTTTCTTTCTTCAAGGGGAATGATGGATTAGGAAGTCCATGAACACCCCTCACACACACATCCAAAATGCCTATTCTTACACTCTTCAATTTGGGAACTCTTGAATTTGAGGTTATCCATGAACATTGGCACTAGTCAGGATGTCTTCCTTCTCTGGCTAGAAGGTTAGATTTTGAGATCACATTGTCTAGGGAATGTAATATCTCTCTACTCTACCCAAGAGTTTGGAGTTGATGACCATTGTCCAAGAACTAATCTTGATAAAAGTGTGCATGAATGTGTCTGCTTCTGCCATTTGATTCTTTAGGAAATCTATTAATGTCCCAGTTGTTGTCAGCTCTTGGTCTGAGAACTTCTACCTGCAGGATCTTTTCTTTTAGGCCATATGCAAACACATGCAATTGTCAAGTCCCTCTGTCTCCAAGTCCTTCTGTCTCTCCATTTCTAGTTCTTGAGAATGAAGACTGGGCTCAAGCATGGGTCCCTCTCTGCTCAGGACCAGAACTTCTATTCTACATAGCTTCAAATAGGGGAAAGAAGTCAATCAGTCAACTAGCATTTATTAAGGACCTACTATATACAAGGAACTGTCCTAAGCCATGGGAATACAAAGGAAGACAAGGAGCTTACTTAAGAAGCTCACAGTCTAATGGGAGAGACAACATGCAAACAACCATATACAAACAAGTCTCAGAAGGAAGGGATTAAGATTTAGAAGGACTAGGAAAGACTTCTTGAAGAAGGTAGGACTTTAGCTGAGACTTAAAGGAAGCCAGGGCTGCAGAGGGAGAGCATTCCAGCCATAGGGAGCCATTAGTGAAAGTGCCGGAGTCAGAAGATAGAATGTTTTATAGGAAGAACACTAGGACAGTGTCACTTTATTGTAGAGTAGTGACTGGAAACATAGGAAGGGACCAGGTCAGTTATTAAAAGCCAAAGAGGATTTTATATTTATTCTTGGAGGTAAGAGAGAGGGCCACTGGAGTTTATTTCATGGGAATGAAAGAGAGGGAAATGGTGAGCCACTTTGAGAACATCAATTTGACAACTGAATAGAGGATGGATTGGAGTGGGAAGAGACTTAAGTAGGAAGACTGAACAAAAGGCTATTACAATAGTCCAAGTGTGAGGTAATGAGACCTGCACTGGGGTGACTGGTGATAATGTTAGAGGAAAGAAGGGGGCATACAAAGAGATGTTATGAAGGTAGAAACAACAGATATTTTCAACTGATTGGATATGGAAGGTGAGAAAGAGTGAGATGTCAAGAATTACCTAGGTTTTGAGCCTGGGTGACTGGGAGGACAGTAGTACCTTGGACAGTAATAGGGAAGTTAGGAAGGCGAAAAGGAAATCCGAGATAGTCAGACCATGAAGCTCCTCCTTAGAAGCTATCCTTCTAAGTCTCAACCAGTCCATCAATTTAGAGATCCCACGTAGTCACTGGAAACCTATGGGGGATTCTGTGACCTTTCAGCAGGGAACCAAAGTGTCACACTCTCACAAACTATGGGAGGTGCCTCTAAACAAAGGCTCTTGATCTATAATATCAACAAATTGATGTTGGGATTTATCAAGTTGGTCAACTTGTATAATGATCCCACCTCTAAAATGGGGTGGGAGGAATAGAGATTAGATTATTTGTAGTGGTTATAATAAGTGAAGTCCTATTCCCTCTTACGCTCCTATGCATAAGTCTAGTTTCTACCTTATTGAATACATCATCCCTGTCTTCAAATATTTGAAATGCTATTATGAAGATAAAGGTTTAAATTTCTTCTGCTTGATCTCAAGGAGGGAACTGGCACTAGTGAGAGAAATAATTGTGATAACTATTTTAGCTCCATTGAATAAGGAAATGATTAGCAATTGGAGTTGTTCAAAAGTAAAATGGATTGCTTCTGTGAAAAATTCGCTTCCTCTTCACTGGAGGTAATCAAGTAGAAGCTAGATGATCATTTGTTGGAAATGAAGAGATGATTAATGCTTCAAGTGGGGATTGGACTGAATTATCCTGTAGGCCTTCCTAGCTCTGTGATTCAATGATATAATGATTTTAAGGTCCCTTCCATGTCCATGATTTTGAATTCTAGATCCTAATCTTGTTGCTACTACTAACTGGCTCTTTACCTCTCTGGGTCTTAGTCATATTATTGGCAAATTGAGGGCATTGGTCAGGGATGTTTTAGAGCTATCTTAAACTGGCTCATGAGCTGATAGTTAATTTTTTAGTGTGAACATTTATACCTCAAAAGTCAGCAAATACTATAAAATAGGGCTTGATTAATTGTTTTGTTGATTATCTAGATTTATGAAAGTGATGGAGAAAATGTTGGATTACAATTAAAAGTGTCATGAGCACTTTTCATGGAAAGCTGATTGTTAAACATTTATCAGCACATTCTTGGGTGAAGTTAAACTATAAGACCCATGATAACACACACAACATCAACAATATTTTGAGAGGTTGTGT